TGCAAATTATCAGCGGTAATGGTAAAGTCATTCGGTAACGTAAAGTCTCTGATAACTTTATCGTCAAAATGGCCGCCAAGGACCAATTAATCTCGCGCAAGGGATTGTGGGCCTGGATGGAACATTTTTTATTTGATTTTCCTTCTAAGTTATAGATCGCCATTGTGATTTCACTTGTTAAACATATACATACTGTTTAGACTTTCAGAAAAGACGTCAAAGATTTTTTTATCAATTTTATTAAGTAAATCTTATATTTTTTTTCCAAAAATGATAATAATTAAATAAATGAGCTAAATTGTGTATTTAATTTAACAAAACCTTAGATTTTTCTGTTTAGGCATATATCCTTGATAAACATTGAGATTTCCACTATTAAAGTTTGTTAATATATAGTTTTAAATATATTTCAATCTTTTTTGTTTAAGTCAATATAACGTCATTACATAATTTAAAGAATTTATCGTTTTATTTTTTGCCTGTAATCATGACAAGTATCAACACAAATAAAGTTTCTTACTTTTCCCCGTACATGTTTATCAAATACGTTCCCATATTCCGGGATTTCCTCCTAGCTTTTATTTAGAAGAGCATTTCTTTTTGATCCGTTGTTCTTCATGAACAAGGCTAGAGTTATCGTTCTTCAATTGAAAAAAAAAGATCCAACAAGGTCTTTTTAATTTGATTTAACATAAAACGCAATGAATAAATTATAATTTATAGAAAACATTAGCCGTTTCTAAACGTATACATGTTATGTAAGCACCTGTCTCTTTTGTATGACATGTCTGAAAAGGACATGAAACGTTTAATAAAATTTTGGTTTCATAAGCAATGATTTTTATCATCACACAGAACATATAATAATTCCGAAATAGACAAACAGTTTTCAGTTTGCTTATGTCATAAAGGCTTAACGACAAATCATTTGACGCTATTATAAAGCAAAAATTACACACAACAATTTGTCTTCAAAGGCATTTATACCAGTTTTGCATTAATAATCTTCAATACTATTTATTACAATGGTATACATGTATATGCATTTTAAAATCTCTTATTCCTTTATCCAAATCAATATACATAGAAGATGGACAAATGCAATATGTATAAATAAGAATGCAATCAAATATCTGGAAACAAAGTGATCCCTCGGAAGCATTTATCACTGATCCCGAAGGACCAGAAAAATATAACACTGAAGTGAAGTACGGGGCAACTTTTTACAGCTGCCACACAGCACTTGACACCTGCTGTTATGAAGTATAAAAATCTGGAAACAAAGTGATCCCTCGGAAGCATAAATCACAACAAAATTACATAAGAATTGCAGACTCGGTTTGATTGAGTCTGTACATGAGAGATAATGAATAAGTGCAACCCCCCTCACGCCCTAGCACCGGCTTTAGCTGTACTCAATTCTCAACACTTAATAGTGCTGGCATCAATGATCCCGAAGGACCAGAAAAATATAACAAAACTGAAGTGAAGTACGGGGCAACTTTTTACAGTTGCCAACATAACACACATGGATTGTAACATTCAGGTATATGTTAGCAAGATACATATACTTTTGGCGGATATCCCCTTCAATGGAACTCAGCACTCCTTTAAGATGCATGTACATGTAATAAAACATAGCCACCTACAAAGTTTCAAGTTGTTCTGTCAGGAACCGTCAAGTTTTTTTTTATTTCACATTCGAAATCTGCGGTGTATTTAAGATAGTTTGTAATAAAGTAAATATACTCAAAGTTTAATGGCATGCTACCTAAGTAAAGGTGTTAAAATGTAATTGTACTACCGTTTTGTTAACCATTGAAGTATTAATGTATATAGTACTTTCAAAAACAGTTTTAATACAGAGCGGGCGCTATGGTGCAATGGTAACACTGTCTGTCTACCAATCAAGGGGTCATGAGTTCGATCCTCCGCTATTCCACTATGACTACGGGACTGACAAACATTCAAACATATGGTTAAAACATACGGATACAGACTTAACAAGAAAACAATGCAAAAGACCTTACGGAAAAGAGACATAACAGAAAAGACAGCAAAAGACATACAGAAAGGGACATCACCGGGCAGATAACAACAAGTACTTAAGGGACCATTCTACAAGACACAGAACAGTCGACAAAAAGACTCAAGGGAAGAAACAAGTCACACGGACGTTAACGAAACACAGAAGAAAAGACTTAACAGAACAGACAATAAAAACTTCCGAAAACAGAAGAGCTAAAGGAAGACATTACGGAGCAAATGACTTAACGGAATATACACCAATAGAACTCACGGAGCCCTACTCACAGCATTAAATAACACAACACGGAAAACACAAACAATAACCAGATAACAGATTATTTTAAGCATACAACAAAAATAGAACAGAAATAAAAACGGAACAGACAATGAAAACATAATAAGGCATCCGAAAACTGAAAAGACAATAAGACAACAAGACAAACAACGGAAAGGACAGAAAACAGGTACTTGTCTGCCTACAAATCAAGTGGCCGAGAGTTCGATACCCCTTTACTCACTATAACAGTGACTATGACGGATAGATATAACAGAACAAACAACGTTCACCATAAAGTACACCAACAATACAGAACAAGCAATAAAACGGAACAGAAAACGATACATACATACAACAAAATATTCCACAACCAACCAAACAGGACAGATACAACTACGTAGTAAACATTTAGATAATAAATTGAACGGAAAACAAACAAGAACGAACTCAACTCAATATAATATTAAAGACAACACGAATAAACTATAGGCAACATAACGATTATGACATATAAGGACTTCTAACAGATAAAAATAATTGAGATATAAGAATGTATTGAGCAATACTACCTGTTATGTGATTTTCCTAGTTTCATATGCCTGGTTTAATTTGCCTTGACTAAAAGATGAGAACAATTCATGTATTGCTAATATCTCATTAATTTAATACTTGATAAATTGCAACATCATTTACTTCTAAAACATTAATCGATGTTTTCCAATTTGACCACATGCCATTGTATTGTGATATTTTATATATCTGACCAAATGATCTTTAAAACTCTTTTTGATGTTTGAAGTTTCATTGTGATAAAAATGTTATTTCTGACGTGTTAACTTGTTGGGTTTCTTTTAATAAGATTTGATAACTGCATTATAGAAGATCTGAATCCTTTTAAAATATGGAGTTAATATCAGTCCAAAATATATGTTTATGGGTCTGTAGAAGATTTTTTAAAATTTTCGTTATAATTTCTTTGGTTGCCATGTCAACCGGATTTCTGCATGGAATTGAACAACTTGGAAGCCCTTCACCCAAGAAACGACCCCGCCATGTCTGGTTGAAATTGAACAAGTAGTTTTTAAGTTCATTATATAATCTATAACACTGACGTAAGCACGCACTCGCATACAAAGGTGAATCGCTATTTACCACCGCGTCGCAGATGTTGCGGTGGCATAAAATAAAAAGTACAACACCTGATAAATTGATATGATGAAAGAACAAATCGGAGCAATTTTAACTCATCATTAATGAATTATTGTTGTGATACAACAATACGTAATGTATTTATAATCACCAAATGATGTTAACAGAAATGTTTCTCATATTGCATTGTACCGATATCCTTATTATGTTATCTTTATTGTTGCTGCAGGATCGTTTATGCTCCATTTAATGGCAAGGCACACGCAGAGTCTTGAGGGTTCAGAGCTATGCAAATCCAAAGCAGGATAAGCATTAGCCCGTCTGGTCAATTTTTTATCAAGACTTTGAAATTTCCTTGTTTATTTTTGTTTGTTTTTTTTTTCTTCGAACCAAGGAAAGCTTTTCTCAAAGCCTACTGTTATCTTTTAAATGTATAATACTCGTTGTAGAAGCGCTCATTTGAAGTCATAGAGGAGTCACAAAAACAACTCACTTCTACATTTACTTTAATGCGATTAAAGACAAATAAATTAACATGTATAATTGTTTCGGGATAGAGAACGGTTTTTTTACACATTAAAATGTTCTTCATACGTAACATGCACTTTTAATTAAAATATTTTTTTATCAAAATAAAAATTGATAGGAAAACTTCAGAAGATACTCTGGATTTAATTACGTGTGTAGATTATAATAATTATGTTTCTAATGAACGTTCCAGAAAAAAATGACATGAAAAGTTGAAAACCAAATTCAACTGAATTAATAATGAATTATTCTGTATCATGATACAGGCAGAAATGTTTATAATCAGTTTAACCATTCCCTTTTTAATTAATTGGAAAACGTTTAATATTTTACCAGTATTATTAAACTAAGTACCTGTTTGATTTATCGCCATATATACTGTAGATATAATATAAGGTATATACAGGTTTGCTTCAAAAGTTTTTAAAAAATAATTGTACTCTTGAATTAAGCATCTTAGCTTAATATAAAGAATATAATACAACAATTAATACAGCACAATAAATGTGTGCATCATGAGATATAACTTATTTAAAATTCCAATTATATCATCAACAAAAATAGTTTTTCTATCAAAGGTATTTTTCCTCATTAAAACAAACACCAAAAACAGTCGAAATGTGTTTTCAATCAAATTGCTGGTGTTTCTTTTCGGCTATATAACTACATAGTCTTTCAGTGGTCCTTTTCTGTGCATACCATGTAATTTGACAAAACTAAAGCATTTTTATTCAAAGGGCTGTAATGATTATTTGTAACGCACCTGTAGGGAAATATCTATCAGGTCAGTCAATTAAAAAAATAATTCAAACAAAATCAGAGGGTATAAATATCGCGTTTTATGTATATTGATTATTAGTGAGCAAGCTAACAGGCATTCGTTCAAGAGAATTTTGAGAATTGTCCGAGAAACACTCGCATACAGCAGGACAATTTGATTGCTATCGCTTCTAAATAACTACAACAATTTACACACAAACCATACTAGGATCCTAACGTGTGTCAGGTTGGCAAAAAGATGATGAACAATACGAACACGACTGTATCTAACACGACAAATCTATCAGTCAATACTGAAATGAAAGATGGATATGACTTACCAGTGACTGGACTTGCGTCTGGATATTTTTACAGTCTACACAGTCTCGCGCTTTCTTGCATGCTCTGCAGCTTCGTTTGTGCGGTAATTGTACTTACTTTTTCCTTCAGAGCAAAGACATGCAGGGATTTCTTCAAGGGCTGGAGTAAAGGTGAACGGTTTATTGTATACATGGCACTCATTGACGGAAGTTTCAACGTATTTCACAGCCTTGATCACTTGCATCATGTCATTGCCATGGACCATGTGAGACCAAAGGAATTATGCCAGTTTTATGCCTTTGTTAATGTTGTATTCGTAAATGGTCAAAACTTGATGGTAAACATTGTTGCGTTTAATGCATTCATGTTGATGTACTTTGACAAGAATCTTGACTTTGGGAAAGCCGACTGGAAACTTCTTACATGGATAATCGGGATGCCTTTTGTTGGAGCTTCGATAGCACAGTTTACAGGGACATTGGGACCAACTGGGTCTTTGTGAGTATTTTTTTTTTTAAAATCAAACCAATAAAACATTTTACGTACTTGACCAAAAATCCGAATATATCGTATATCATAATGCATCTGGCAGGCTTATTCAATCAAACAAACATGCCCTGTTTTCCCCTCTTTTCTGCAATGTACCTCACAATTGATTTCAACCTTACCTTTATTGAATTGCCTGAAATAAAAGAACGATATAACTTAAATGCTCTTGTTTGGAAGTGATATTTTTCACAACAGTATTATGTTGAAACAGTGCTTGTGGAACAACCCAATATTGATCATTATCATCTTGATCTACATGCTCTATTTGACTGGGTCTAAAGTCGCACCAACACTGTAGACATCGAATACCTTTGTGTGCATTGTTACAGGCTAGAACAGGCACCCGAGTAGAACCATCGACTATCCGTAAACCAGCTTGACAGGACATTATCTATGGCAAGAGATAATTTAGTAATTTATATGAATTTTGGCGAAAAAGTTGTCCGTGCTTTGGTTGAAACGATACTTATTTCATCTTCCATATTTTCAAACAAAATTTCAATTTATAAATTGCATCTAGGGTTGAGTAGAAAGCTTATATAAAACTCTCTTCTGTTTTCTATAATGTTCCTTGGTAGGCTGGAAATATGTTTTGAAATGTTAAATTAACACTTAAAACTTTATAATAGATGTGTTTAATATGATAAAAACCAACGCAAAAATTAAGACTTTTTATACTTTACTTTTTATTGCCTTCAAGTAAGTATGACGTATACATTGCGACTACATCAAAGTATCGATGTTTTTGTGTATGAAATTGGAACAAAATATTAACGAATAAAGGGTGATTGGTTGTTATTGATAACATAAATGATAAAAGCATATGGACATTCTTAAGACTATTCCCTAAAGTTAAGATGCGTGGAAGTGTCGAAAGCCAATTCCGACCACAAACACAGTCACACCCATTAGTCGAATATCATTTTTGTCAAACGAATCTATAGATGAACCTGGTCAATAATTGTAAAGTTGTCAGTTTGAGCCCGGGCTCTTCTATGTGAAATCATTTTCAGAAGATGAGAGTTTTTAATTCTTTAAAGTGGTCCTCGACGAAAAAAGATTTTTTTTTCAGAAAAACTCCGACCTTTGACTTAAATTTTACATCTAACTGCTAGTAAAAAGGTTAACCACTTTTGAGAATGTAAACTTGTCAATTCCTTTGACTTCGACTTAAGGGAATGTTTTTCAACGAGGTTAAAAGTTATTTTTTCACCTGCCCAGACTGTCCTTATATTTGGACCGCTGACTTAAATATTCTATTTGTTTGAGGCTCACTGATTTGAGGCTCACTGACCTTTTAGTTACACATTCATGTAAAGTATACAAATGATATGTTAAGTAAATGTAAATACTTCTGTATTTTAGTTGCTTCGTCGACGGTGTTAGAGGATTCACCGCTAATGTATGCCTTACCACAGTTCCCTTACTGATAATTGTTCTGATGAACAGCGTAATGTACGGTCTCACGTGGAAACGTATCAGAGAGAAGACGAAAGCCCTGAAACATTTTAACAAGGTAACGAGACAGACAGTCAGCAAATCAAGGCGTGCGGCGATAAGTATGTCCATGTTTGTTGTAGCGTTCTTCATTCAATGGACGCCGTTGGCCATAATGGGGTTGTGGCTGCTACTTGACACGGAAGTTCCGCTAGTCTTGTTCTATATTGTAACGACATTTACAAATCTCGGTGGCTGCTTGAATTTTGTGGTATTTCTCATAATAAGACATAGGAATAGACAACAAAGTTCTAAGAATGAACGGAGACATAATGACTTGGATGAACACAAAAACACGCACACCAATTCTAATATCACATTTGTGTCTACTGAGACTTAACATTTTATACCGATCTGTATATTTTGATCTGTACAGAGAAAAAACAGCTATTTTCTAAGTATTCCGCACATAAATGAAATAAATTTTAAGTCTGAGTCAATTATTGATTTCATTTCTTAGTCGTTTATAATTAATAGATCATATGTTGAAGTCTTTTTTAATTTTAACACAGTTTAGCTTTTAAGTCATAATTAGCATATTTTACTGCCATGAAATATTATTCCACCAATATAATTGGTAAAAATATTCTTTGGTCGAAATAAATCAACTCAACAAGAGGTAAAATTACCAATTATTTGAAATCCATAGCAGTTGAATCAGGAATTGCACAGTGAAAGACTTAAAGTTGTTAACATGGTGAGGCAAGGAAACCGTTTGTACCCTTTGCTTTCTAATGTATATATCAAGAACGTGAAATAAAATATTGCTTATTGCGATTTGTTTAGTTTCAGTATTTTCTCTATAATACCATTCATAAATGAAAAAAGTAAAAGAAAGATTGCTATGGGACAGACAGTTCTCAAATATAATGATTGATAACGTATTTTTAAGCTGTTCTACCTTCAATCAAACTTAGTCTGAGTGCAATATTCATGTATTGTTCTTGTTGTTGCTTGCGAGGGTTCATCCTTTCCATTTTTACTCTTACTCTTTATATGTTTGAGTATCGTTTTTTATGTAAATAGGGTAAATTACCATTTGCAAGGAAATGTTTTCTGAAACAAAACATGAGATATCGAAAGCAATAGTTTGTGCCTACTTGTTATTCCGGTTTTCTTGGGAAAACCGATTAACATTAAAATTTATTTTTTTTAACGATGTTTCTAGCAATTTTGAACATTGTTTATGATAATTTAGAAGTAATATACTAAATATATCACTTTTAACAATTACATTGCTTCTAATCATAATGAACAAAGTACAAATATTACACTTACAATCATATTAATTTTCACAAAAGCATGACAATGCTATATTACTCACAATGTGAATGTTATGCAGTGAATGACATGATTTATTTCACTGTTAAAAGCTTAGTATCATTAGTTAGTATGAAACAAAATATTGTATATTGTAACTTTCGTTATTTAAGTTAATGAATATTTATTTAAAAGTTTATTTGGTTAATACTTAATTGAGATGAACGAAATCATTGCTTACCGTTGCTTTAAATGGCACCTTGATTGTTTGTTTCAGAATATGTCATTCTGTTAACGTACAAAATTGAAATAACGGAGACATTTTATATTTATATTACTTCACTAACAAGCCTTTCCTCATCAAGAACCCTGGTACATCATGACAATGTTATGGTATTGCCAAGTCGTTTGGACTTGTCAAAGGCTTACGTTAACTAACGTCGTGGTGGGTCGTGTGGGTTTCTGTAAATCTGCTACAGATAATGAATGTCATTTAAAATATAATATAAACTCAATGGAAAACATAAACAACTAGGTAATAATTTAATATATCATAAAACATTAACAATTAGGTAATAATTTAATATATCATAATTAAAAGTTACATCATTAACACCTTGTTCATACAAATATGTTGACATTAAAAAGCGTCCAGTTATAATAAGTGAAATATGTTGACATTAAAAAGCGTCTAGTTATAATAAGTGAAATATGTTGACATTAAAAAGCGTCCAGTTATAATAAGGGAAACATGTGGACATTAAAAAGCGTCCAGTTATAATTAGTGAAAAATATTAGTATAAAAGACGAAGTTCAGTGACATTGGGGAATTAAACAAAAATATGTTTGTTTTTAATTAGATGAAATAAATATTTTCTTACAAAAATACTTTTTAAATTAATTCTATTTCACAGGCTAGGAATGACTTTGAGCAAGTGTCACCATCTTCCGCCTATGTTACGCTAAATATCTTTAATAAACTTGTTTATCTTTCAATATGAACAAAAATAATAATTTTAAAAAAAATTTACAAATAAAGAACTGGCTGAAAAGCAAACAGTACAGACCGCAATCAGACGACATGTATGATCTTGGTCTGCAATGGTGGCAAGGATAGATTCAGCTACCATTTGCAGGTTAAGAAAAAAAAATTTCAAACATCAGTTTTACCAAGTTAGGTGATTTTGTATGTTTTCATGAACATACATATTTAACAAAAACAGACATCCTAAAATAGATGCATACTTTAATGACATGCAAATATCACTATAGTCTATTTATATAAAGTGTCCTGTATTTATTTAAATATTTTTATACATTTGCATCATGTATAATGAATTGGAAGAAATGTCAAATTCTCCATAAAATTATTGGTTCTGGTTCTTATTCAATAGTCAAATAATTATGTTGGTTCCAATATCTTTGTCGTAGTTAGAACTTATTATTTTGTTCTTGGTTTAACTTGGTTTTCATATTTTCAGGCTTTCATTTTTGGTTTTTATTTGATGTTCAGGTGTCCTAGCTTTGGTATCTATTAGCTGTAGTCAGAATTCATTTTTTTGTTCACATTTCATGTCTTTGATACCTTTTTGCTAGACAAGATTTATTTTTAGCAATAAATTGGTGTTCAGCATTTCTGGTTATTTTTTAGTATTCTGAATCTATTTTTATCCTTTATTTCGTGTTAAAATTTTCTAGTTCTTATTTCTTTTAAGTAGTCTGAATTCATTTTTGGCCTGCCTTTATTTGGTATTCAGGTTTTCTGATGCTGATATCTTATATTGTATTTGGTATGAATTTGGCGGTCCCTGTCCGTTATCTATTTTGGTTGACCGTATTAGTTATTTTCGCAATTATTTGGTGATCATCTCTGGCACGCAGTGCTTCTATAAACTTCTGCAAGTTTTTTTTAACAAGTGCTTCACTGAATGACGTCATATATGTCACAAAATACTGCAAACATGAGATTGTTTCGTATTCAGGTTGTCTTCAACCTTCTTGGGTTTGTCGACTTTCTTTTGAAGCGGGTTGTCTTAGGTTTAATGCATTTCTTGAAACTATCAATGTGGATTTTTCCTATAATAACCCCCTCAAAAGCCTATCACCGTGGGTTTTGTGAGATTTAATGCATTCCATGAGGCTATAAAAAGAGGTTTTATTGCGATAAGAACCCTCTTAAAGGGCTATGACCGTTGGTTGTTAGAGCTTTACTGCATTCCTTGTCGTTTTCACCGTGGGTTTTATTGCGATAATATATCCCTAGAAGGTCTTTCACCGTGGGTCGTGTAAGATGTGCTGAATTCCTTAAAGCTATCACCCTGGGTTTGATTGCGATAAGAAACTTCTAAAAGTCCTATCACCTTTGGTTGTATGAGCTTTACTGCATTACATCAAGCTATCACCGTGGGTTTTATTGCAAAAAGAACCATGTAAAAGTCTTATCACCGTGAGTTGTGTCAGCTTTACTGCATTCCATGATGCTATCACGTTAGTGTTATTGCATAAATAACGCTCTTAAAAACCTATCATCGTGGATACTGGGTAGTGTGAGCTTTCCTGCATTCCTTCAGGCTATTACCAGAGGTTTAATCGCGATGAAAACCCTAAAAAAAGTCCTGTCAACATAGATTGACTGAGGTTTAATGCATTCCCTGAGGCTACCACCGTGGGATTTCTTTCGAAAAGAACCCTCTAAAAGTCCTTTCATCGTGGTAATGTGAGCTTTATTTTATTCTTGAGGAATAATTTATTCCGATAAGCACACTCTATAACCGTGGGTTGCGTGATCTTTACTGCATTCCATGAAGCTATTACCGTGGTATTTTATGATAAGAACCCTCTAAAAGGCACATAACCGTGAATTTTGTGAGCTTTATTGCAATCCATAATGCTATCACCGTGGGTGTTATTGCAATGACAGCACTCCAAAAGGCCTATCGCGTGCATTCATTTAACTTTTTGTATGCCTTGAGGCTGTCACCGTTGGTTGTTTTTGTATCAATATCCTCAAGAAGGCCTATCACCGTGGGTTTCGTGTGCACTACCGCATTCCATGAGGTTATCACCGTGTGTATAATTGCGAAAAAAAAAACACATTTAAAAGGCTTATCACCGTGGGTTTTGTGAGCTTTACTGCATTCATTGAGGCTATCACATTTGGGTTTAGCTTAAAGAAAACACTCAAAAAGGCATACTACCTTTGGTTGTGTAAACTTTACTGCCTTCTTTGAGGCTATTACCGTGTTTGTTTGCGATAACAACCCTCTAAAAGGCCTATCACCGTGGGCTGTGTGAGCTTAACTGCATTCCTTGAGGCTATTACAGTAGGGTTTAGCTAAAAGAAAACACTCAAAATGGCATACTGCCGTTGGTTGTGTAAACTATACTGCCTTCATTGAGGCTATTACCGTCTTTTTTTGCGATAATTACCACGTAAAAGGCCTATCACCGTGGGTTGTGTAAGATTTTCAGCATTCTTTAAGGCTATCTCCGTGGAATAAATTGCCATAAGAACCCTCAAAAAAGCATATCACCGTGGTTTGTATGACCTTTAACACTGTCTGTCTACAATCAAGGGGTCATGAGTTCGATTCCCCCGCTACTCTACTATGACTACGGGACTGACAAACATACGAACATACGGTTAACACAAACGGATACAGACTTAACCAGAAAACAATGCAGAAGACCTTACGGAAAAGATACATCAGAAAAGACAGCAATAGGCATACAGAAAGGAACATCACCGGGCAGATAACAACAAGTACATAAGGGACCATTCTACAAGACACAGAACAGTCGACAAAAGACTCAAAGGAAGAAACAAGTCACACGGACGTTAACGAAACAGAAAAGAGAAGACACAAGAGAACAGACAATAAAAGCTAAGACTATTATAGGAAGCAGGAAACGACAGCCGAAAACAGAAGTGCTAAAGGAAAACATTACGGAGCAAATGACTTAACGGAACATACACCAACAGAACTAACGGAGCACTACTCACGGCACTAAATAATACAGAACGGAAAACACAAACAATTAACAGATAACAGAGAATTGTAAGCATACAACAAGAATAGAACAGAATTTAAAACGGAACAGACAATGAAAACATAATTAGACATCCAAAAACTGAAAAGACAATAATAAAGCAACGAGACAAAAAACGGAAAGGACAGAAAACAGGTACAAATAAAGTGGCCGTAAGTTCGATACCCCGTTACACCACTTGAACAGTGACTATGACGGATAGATAACAAGGACACCAACGATACAGTAAAAACAAGGCACAACGTTACAGAAAACGACGACCGGTAACAGATATAACTACAATATATAACTAAATAGTCTTTACATACAACAAAATATTACACCACCACGCAAACAGGACAGTTTACATTAAATAAAAACTTAAACAGAAAATAAACAAGAACGGACTCAAGTAAACATAACATTAAAGACTACACGAATAAACTATAGGCAACATAACGATTATGAGATATAAGGACTTCTAACAGATAAAAAGAATATAAATTTTAGAAAGTATTGAGCAATTCTACCTGTTATATGATTTTCCGAGTTTCATATGACTGGTCTAATTTGCCTTGACTAACAGATGAGAACAATTCATATATTGCTAATATCACATTGATTTAATACTTGATAAATTGCAACATCATTTACTTCTAACACATTAATCGATGTTTTCCAATTTGACCACTTGCCATTTTATTGTGATATTTTATACATCTGACCAAATGATCTTTAAAACCCTTTTCGATGTTTGAAACTTCAATGTGATTAAAATATTATTTTTGACGCGTTTACTTGTTGGTTTTCTTTTAAGATTTGAAAACTGCATTATAGAAGATCTGAATCCTTTTAAAATATGGAAGTGAGTATCAGCCCAAAATATATGTTAATGGGTCTGTAGAAGACTTTTTTTTTAATTTCGTTATATTTTTTTTGGTTGCCATGTCAACCGGATTTCTGCATGGAATTTGAACAAATTGGAAGCCCTTCATCAAAGAAAGAATCCCGCCATTTCTGGTTTAAATTGGACAAGTAGTTTTTAACAAGAAATTTATATTTTAAGTTCACTATATAATCTATAACACTGACGCAAGCACGTACGCACATACAAAGTTGAATCGCTATATACCATTGCGGTGGCATGAAATAAAAAATACAACACTTGATAAATTGATATGATGAAAGAACAAATCCGAGCAATTTTAACTCATCATTAATGAATTATTGTTTTGATACAAGAATACGTAATGTATTTATAATCACCACATTATTATGCCAAATGATGTTAATAGGAATGTTTCTCATGATGCATTGTTATACTAGGGACCGATATCCTTATTATTGTGTTATTTTTATTGCTGTTGCAGAGGCGCTTATTGCAAAGCTTTGATGCTCCATTTTAACGCACACGCAAAGAGTCTTGAGAGCCCAGAGTAATGCAAATTCAAAGCAGGATAAGCATAAACCCGTCTGGTCATTTTTTATCTAGACTAGGTAATTTTTTTCCGAACCAAGAAAAGCTTTTCTCAAAATCCACTGTTATCTTCTCAGTGGTAGAAGCGATCATTTGAAAACATAGAGGAGTCATAAAAACAATTCACTTCTACAATTACTTTAATGCAAGCAAAGGAAAAGGTATAAAAATGTATATTGTATAAAAATGTATAATTGTTTTGGGATAAAGAACGGTTTTTTACACATAAGAATGTTCTAGATACGTAACATTAACTTTTAATCAAAATATTTTTTTTATAAAAAATAAAAATTGATATGAAAACTTCAGAATGTACACTGGACTTAATTACGTGGATATATTTATTATTATGTTTTGTAATTAACGTTTCAAAAAAATGACATGAACGTTTTAAAATCAATTTAAAATGAATTGGAACTGATATCAAAAATGTTTTAATCACCGATGTGCACGCACCAGGAGATCTATAAAATGTGTGCGACTGAATTAATAATTAATTTAACTGCATCATAATACAGGTGGAAATGCCAATATCTAATTTAACCATTCCCTTTTTGAATTAATTGCAAAATGTTTAATATTTTACCAGTATTATTGAACTATGTACCTGTTTAATTTGTCGCCATATATAGATATAATATAATGTATATGCAGCTTTGCTTCAAAAGTTTGTAGCTTGAATTTTGCATCATAGCTTAATATTAAGAATATAATGCAAAAATGAATGCACAATAAATGGAATTTGTGCAGCATGAGATAGATATCATTTAAAATTCCAATTATATCATCAACAAAAATAGATTTTTTTCTATTAAAGGTATTTTTTCCTCATTAAAACAAACACAAACAACAGTTGATATGTGTTTTCAATCAAATTTCTGGTGTTTCTTTTCGGCAATATATAACTACATTGTCTTTACATTTTCCTATTCTATGCGTACATGAACGATGCAATTTGATTAAAGTAAAGCGTTTTTATTCCATTCGTCGGGGTTGTAATGATTATTTGAAACGCACCTGTAGGGAAATATCTATCAGATCAGTCCTTTGAAGATTATTGAACAATAATTAATTAACACAAAAGCAGAGAGCATAAATATCGCGCTTTACTGTAATTTGATTATTAGTGAGCAAGCTTACAGGCATTAGTTCAAGTTATACCAACTTTGAGAATTTCGAAGACACATACAGCAAGACAAAATCTGATTAATATCGCTTCTAATTAACTGCAACGCTTTACAAAAAAACATAAAAGGAGCCAAACGTGTGTCAGATTGGCAGAAAGATGATGAACAATACGAACACGACTGTATCTAACACGACAAATCTATCAGTTAATACTGAAATGAAAGATGGATATGACTTACCAGTGACTGGACTTGCGTCTGGATATTTTTACAGTCTACACAGTCTCGCGCTTTCTTGCATGTTCTGTAGCTTCGTTTGTGCGGTAATTGTACTTACCTTTTCCTACAGAGCAAAGACATGCAGGGATTTCTTCAAGGGCTGGAGTAAAGGTGAACGGTTTATTGTATACATGGCACTCTTTGACGGAAGTTTCAACGTATTTCACAGTCTTGATCACTTGCATTATGTCATTGCCATGGACCATGTGAGACCAAAGGAATTATGCCAGTTTTATGCCTTTGTTAATGTTGTATTCGTAAATGGTCAAAACTTGATGGTAAACATTGTTGCGTTTAATGCATTCATGTTGATGTACTTTGACAAAAATCTTGACTTTGGGAAAGCCGACTGGAAACTTCTTACATGGATAATTGGGATGCCTTTTGTTGGAGCTTCGATAGCACAATTTACAGGTACATTGGGGCCAACTGGATCCTTGTAAGTATTTTATTTCTTTTATATTTATTTTTATCTTTTACTTTGAAAATCAAACCAATATAACATTTTACGTACTTTACCAAAAATCCGAATATATCGAATATCATAATGCATCTGGCAGGCTTATTAAATCAAACAAAACATGCCCTGCTTTCTCCTCTTTTCTTCAATGTACCTCACAATTGATTTCAACCTTACCTTTATTGAATTGCCTGAAATACAAGAACTCTCCCCGATATATCTTAAATGCTCTTGTTTGAAAGTGATACTTTCACAACAGTATTATGTTGAAACAGTGCTTGTGGAACAACCCAATCTTGATCCTTATTATCTTGATCTACATGCTCTATTTAACTGTGTCTAAAGTCGCACCAACACTGTAGACATCGAATATTTTTGTGTGCATTGTTTCAGGCTAAAATAGGCACCTTAGTAGAACCATCGACTATCCGTAAACCAGCTTGACAGGACATTACCTATGGCAAGAGATAATTTAGTAATTCATATGAATTTTGGCGGAAAAGTTGTTCGTGCTTTGGTTGAAACGATATTTATTTCATCTTCCATATTTTCAAACAAAATTTCAATTTATAAATTGCATCTAGGATTGAGTAGAAAGCTTATAAAAACTCTCTTCTGTTTTCTATAATGTTCCTTTGGTAGGCTGGAAATATGTTTTGAAATGTTAAATTAACCCTTTCGCTGCCAGAGGGTTATTGTTTTATTGTCCACCTATTTGCCAGAGGATTTTCTAAGAAATTACTATATTATTAATTAATATAATTATTATTTTTTGTTATTAGTATTACAATATACGTTTCCAAATCTGTTAGTATAATAATAATAATTGTCGATGGTATAATTTTCTTTATATTTATTATTATTTTTATTATTATTATTATTTATTTATTATTATTACTATTATTATTATAGAAACGGCTAAAGCCGTCCTTATGGCAAATACGCCGAAAATATCAGGGACGGCTTAAGCCGTCCTTATAGCAGTGAAAGGGTTAACACTAAAAACTTTATAATAGATGTGTTAAATATGATAAAAACCAACGCCAAAATCAAAACTTTTTATAATTTACTTTTTATTACATTCAAGTGTAAGTATGACGTATACATTGCGACTACATCAAAGTATCGATGTTTTTGTGTATGAAATTGAAAAAAAAAATAACGAATATAGGTGGATTGGTTGTTCTTATAATATTAATGATAAACGGTTATGGACATTCTTAGGACTATTCCTTAAAGCTAAAATGCGTGGAAGTGTCGATAGGTTTGGCAAATTCCGACCACAAACACACCAACACCTATTTGAATATTTGTTTGGCAAACGTACAGCTTAGCTTGGTCAATATTTGTAAAGTTTTCAACCAAAAAACAACAACAAAAAGCATCTAACTGCGAGCAGGTAAACCACTTTTGAGCAGAATGTAAACTTGTCAATTATTAACTTTGACTTAGGATAATTTTTCATCGAAGTTAAAAGTTAATTTTTCACCTTCTCAGGCTGTCCCTGTATTAGTGTTGGACGGCTGACTTTAACCTAAACATTCTATTTATTTGAGGATCACTGACCTTTAAGTAAAGAAAGAAACACATTTATATAAAGTTTACAAAATAAATAAATGTAAATACTTCTGTATTTTAGTTGCCTCTTCGACGGTGTTACAGGATTCACCGCTAATGTATGCCTTACAACAGTTCCCTTACTGATAATTGTTCTGATGAACAGCGTAATGTACGGTCTCACGTGGAAACGTATCAGAGAGAAGACGAAAGCCGTGAGACATTTAAACAAGGTAACGAGACATACAGTCAGTAGTTCAAGGCGTGCGGCGACAAGTATGTCCATGTTTGTTGTAGCGTTCTTCATCCAATGGACGCCGTTGGCCATAATGGGAGTGTGGCTGATACTTGACACGGAAGTTCCGCTTGTCTTGTTCTACATTGTTACGACATTTTCAAATCTCGGTGGCTGCTTGAATTTTGTGGTATTTCTCATAATAAGACATAGGAATAGACAACAAAGGTCTAAGAATGAACGGGGACATCATGACTCGGATGAACACAAAAACATGCCCACCAGTTCCAGTATCACATTTGTGTCCACTCAGACTTAACATTTTTATACCGATATGAATATTTTGATCTGTACAGAGATAAACAGTTATAAATTTTCTAAATTTTCCGCACATAAATGAAATAAATATTAAGTCTGAGTCAATTATTGACTTCATTTCTTAGTTGTATTTAATTAATAAATCATATAGTGAAGTCTATTTTAATCTTACCACAATTTAGGTTTTATGTCATAATTAGCATCTTTTACTGCCATGAAATATTTACTACCAATCTAATTTGTAATATTCTTTGGTCGAAATGAATCAACTCAACAAGAGGTAAAATTATCAATTCTTTGCAATCCAAAGCAGTTGAATCATGAATAACACTGTCTTGTTTTTCAATGTATATATCAAGAACATGAAATAAAATATTGCGATTTGTTTAGTTTCAGTATTTTCTCTATAAGACCATTCATAAAGTCTATAGATAATGAAAAACGTAAAAGAAAAGTTGATATGGGACAGACAGTTCTCGAGTATAATCATTGATAACGTTTTTCAAAGCTGTTCTTCCTTCAATCAAACTTAGTCTGCAATGTTCATGTATTTTTCTTGTTTTTGTTGCGATGGATCATCCTTTTCTATTTTTACTCTTACTTTTTATATGTTTGAACATCGTTTTTTATGTAAAAAGGGTAAATTACCATTTGCAAGAATATGTTTTCTGAAAGAAAACATGAGATATCAAAAGCAATGTTTTGTGCCTTCTTGTTATTCTGGTTTTCTGCGGAAAACCGATTAACATTAAAATTTAATTTTTACGTTGTTTCTAGCAATTTTTAACATCGTTTATAATAATTTAGAAGTCATACAATTATATCATTTTTAACATTTATATTGCTTTTTATCATAATGAACAAAGTTCAAATATCACACTTACAATTATGTTAATTTTTACAAAAGCATGACAACGCTATATTACTCACAATGTGAATGTTATGCAGTGAATGACATGATTTTATTTCACTGTTAAAGGCTACGTATCATTAGTAAGTATGAAACACAATATTGTAAAATTGTAACTTTAATTATTTAAGTTATTGAATATTGATTGATATATTTATTTCCGTAATACTTAATGGAGATGAACGAAATCATTGCTTATACCGTTGCTTTAAATGGTACCTTGATTTTTTGGTTTCTGAATATGTCATTCTGTTAACGAACAAAATTGAAATAACGGAGACATTTTATGTTACAATTACTTCACTAACAAGCCTTTCCTCATCAAGAACCCTGGTACATCATGACGATGTTGTGGTGTTGCCAAGTCGTTTGGACTTGTCAAAGGATTACGTTAACTAACGATTTCTGGTCGTGTAAGTTCAATCCACGTCAGGGGACAGGCCGTTGTTTCCATGAGCAAGAAAGTTTACTTATTTCTCTGTATTGGTTGATTCCAAGAACATATCTGGGAGTGTTTCAATAAGCTAATAGATCCCAACAAAATCGAACGAAATCCATTCGGTGTGAGCTATTAGGGTAATGAATTGGCGAAATTAATATACTGACGTTTACATCATTTGGTCATCAGGCAACAGGTCAGTTAATCTGCGACAGATAATGAATGTAATTAAAAATATGATGTAAACTCAATGGAAAACATAAACAATTAGGTAATAATTTAAAATATCGTAATTAAAAGTTACATCATTAACACATTGTTCATACAAATATGTTGACATTAAAAAGCGTCCAGTTATAATTAGTGAAAAATACTATAAAGTATAAAAAACTAAGTTCAGTGACATTGAGAGATTTAACAAAAAGTTTGTCTGTTTTTAAAACATTTGAATGATACAAGAAAACTTATATAAACATTTTCTTACAAATAAAGTTTTAAAATCAATTCTATTTCACAAGCTAGGAATGACTTTTAGCATGGATCACCATCTTTAACCTATGTTAGGCTAACTATCTGAAATAAACTTGTTTATCTTTCAATCTGAACAAAAAAAAAATAATTTTAAAGAAAAAATACAATAAAGAATTGGCCGGAAAGCAAATAATGCAGGCCACAGTCAGACAGCACGTATGATATTGGTATGCAATGGTCGCAGAGCAAGGGTAGATTCAGCTACCCTCGGCAGGTTAAGAAATAAGAAATTTTCAAACATCAATTTTATAAAGTTTGGTCCTTAGGTATGTTTTCATCAACATACATAATTATTTAAAAGAATACAGACATCCTAAAATAGATGCATACGTAAATAACATACAAACATCACTAGTCTATTTATATAAAGTGACCGGTATCATTATACATTTGTACATGTACTATGTATGATGCATTGGAAGAAATGTCAAATTCAACATTATTTTCCTGGTTCTTATTTAATGGTCAAATATGTTGGTTCCAATATCTTTGTCGTACTTAGAATTGATTATTTTGTCCTTGGTTTAACTTGGTTTTCATATTTTCTGGCTGTGATATACATTTTTGGTATTTATTCGGTATTCAGGTGTTATGGCTTTGATATCTATAGGCTATAGTACGAATTCATTTTTGTTCGCATTTCCTGTCTTTGATACCCTTAAGCCTAAATTTGGTGTTCAGATTTTCTCGTTTTGTTTTCATGTCAGTATTCTGAATTTATTTTAAGCCTTTATTTCGTGTTCTCATTTTCTGGCTTTAAAGTTTTAGTAGTCTGGGTTAATTTTTGGCCTTAATTTGATATTAAGATTTTCTGGTGCGGACATGTATTTGGCAGTCAGAATAGTGACATATACTATTTTTGATGTGAATTTGGTGGTGGATTTCCTGTCCCTTGTTGGTTGACCGCATTAATTGCTTTTGCAATTATTTGGCAAATCATCTGCAAGTTTTAACAAGTGTTTCACTGAATGACGTCATATATATCACAAAATACTGCAAACATGAGATTGTTTCGTATTCAGGTTGTCTTCAACCTTCTTTGGTTTGTCGACTTTCTTTTGAAGCGGGAATGTCAGACGGCGTTTCTCTTGAGCTTTAACTGTAGTTTGTATAGGTGCCCGAATTGGTGAATGCTGCAAAAGACGAAAATGGTAATATTTTTATTAGTAAGACTAAACAATGTTAAACTGAAATGCATGCAAGAAATGGCAAAATATTTACGGATTATTCAACTTTAATCTTAAACATACATAACATAAACATGTAATACAAATATATTTAGTATATACAGGCGCGTTTGCTTCAAATTAGAATACGAAAGAAATATATAATAACTTCTACAGAATGATGTTCAGATGATTTAGAGACTGTCCAGAAAGGAAATGTCCTCAATCAATGTCTAAAATAATAATCTGACTGTACACTGCTGATATAGACTAAGAATATCAATACAAATGATATAACATCTTAAAATGTCTGGTCCGCCATTATCGTGAAAAAATTACCAGATTTTAAATATATATTTAGTTATTGAATATTACATAATATGTTGTTACTAAGGTACTGTATTTCACGTATGCATTTAATGTTTGTTTTTCTGGTTTGGTTTTTAAGGCCTATTTTAAGACATTTTGTTTAAAACGTGGCGGTCAGTCCACCTAAATGACATTCCTGGATAACTATACAGTAATTTCCAATTTCTCCGCATATGACCGACTTCTTATCCAATATAATTTATAAATCAGCGTTGACAAATGAGCATTAGACTCCTTTTTCTTGATATGTTGTTACGTAAATTTTCCGTCTCATCCAAGGATTAAACAAGCGGGTTGCGAATCCAATGCTCTCCCATTCGAGCTAAATAGGCGGATGCATGCATTTAATACATTGAATTAACATAAACATAACTGTTTGAGATGCTTTGCATTACAAATATGTCATCATGTGGCGATGAAATACAAGTATATATATTACATATGTGTATGCACGTGTGCATATATCCAGAATTATTTGTTATACCGGTATATCAAAATAAATAGAACAACAACAAATTACATAAAATAATCAAGATAATGATAAGCAGTCACAAAATAACTCACTCTTTAAACCACGGGTAAGCAAAATATAGTAATCTACTCACGGTTTTAATATATCTTTCTTTCAGTATTTGCTAAATATGTAAATTTGATTGTTTGTCTTTTTAATTTGTATAATTGGTGCACATTTAAAAAGTTCGCATTCTTTTGTTTGCAAATTATGTCAAGAATTAGAATATTAATATCGAAGCATACATTTGCCTAGCATTTCTTGGTAACGGTGGCCTTCTTAAACAGATATTCGTAAACACCATAAAATTGTAGGATGAAGTAAATAGATTGTTTATTTTTCTTTAAGGTAATTGTGAGCTAAACATGTTACACTCTGCGATTGACATTTAGATCATTTGACAAACTGAATTTAAGGGGCTGGACGAGTTCGTTAACTTTATAAAAAGTAAATATATATCGATCAATTCCTTATTATTTTTCAAAGCCCCACCCTTCGCAACCATAACCATGAAGTATAACAAAGGATCGGAAAATTAAATACTAGTATTTCTGTTACTAATCAAAATCCACACCATCGACTATATTAAATGTTTTGAAAGAATATATCATTTTTCAAATCACACTTATTCAAACGATGCCTGTCATTTCTAAATTATCATTTCTTTCTTAAAGATATTCCCATTTCGATAACCACTTTCCACACAGGTTCAAATTAAACAAGCATACAAACAAATATTAAACTTACCTGAATTATCTGAGGAATACTGGACATCGACGAGCTCCTGCGTCGGCGTACTGGCATTTTGTAAGTAATTGGTACTCTATTTCTCTGCGGCGGTTTGGGCTTTATTGGCAGCTGGTGCCCTTCTTCGCTGCTTGCGTCTATAATTACATATTTTTAAATAAGAACTTCTAAGAACTTTTATTTCATAGAAAATATCATTAAAGGCTCATTATGTCCCAGAAATATTTTTTCTCTAGGAAGGGCAAATATTAATTTCATTATATTAAATTTAATAGTTTTAGGGAATGTTACATGCTCATCACCTGGAAAAAAACAACATATTTTAAAATAATATGTCATAAAGGTAGAAAAATGAAAACGTTTATTTTTGGCTTTTGTACTCACTATAAATGTATCATTTTGTACAACATACTTAATCACTATAAATGTATCAGTTACAGAAAAAAGAAATTACTTTTGTTTGACAAATTAAAACTAGCAACAAGTCACCAAAAATAAGAAGCTTTTGAGAAATAAAAATTAAAGCATTTCTTGGGATAAGAGGGCTTTAACGGCAATTTAAGAAAGGTACAGTATGGATATTACACAACAAATTCCCTTATAACTGATTACGTCATAATTAGCTTAGAACAGTCAAGTCACTAAGATCATATTAATAAGATGGGTTTAACAAAAATAACAGAACAATAAGTAAGCTTTAATGTCATTTGTTTTAACAATATTCTTTCAATGATGGTGGTAGTGGTGGTGGTGTCGGTAGTCTACCCTCCAGATCACGACAGTAAGCCACTTTGAACTCACCAGAGCAAATTTCAGACACTTCATCGTTCCTGGGCATGCTGTCAAACAGTTTACCCCTTTTCACTTAAGTTAAGAATTGATACCTTTTGTACATGCCAGACCATAGAAAAGATGTCAAGATACACTAGAAAGAAACTAGCATGCATCGTCCAGCAATCGAGCCAGGTTCGCCCGAATCACAAGTCACACGCTTTACCAATTGAAGCTAACCAACTGATTTCAATTAAAGTACTTCGACATTATTGTTATATATTCAAACAGTAACAGTAGGTCAACTACATGTAGTAGTATAACACTGTATGGTGGCATGGCCAAGTGGTTAACGCGTCAGACTAGTAATCTAGCTAATGATCCCTAGCCGCATGGGTTCAAACCCCGTCAAGGCCAAGTCGTTGTTTCCTTGAGCAAGAAACTTTACACTCATTACTCAGTACTGGTTGGTTCAATGAACGAATTCGAAAGCGTGTCTGTAAGCTTCTAGCTTCCTACACAATGGAACTAAAATAAATTGTGTATAAACCAACTATAACATTAACTCATAATTCTTTACCTGATAAATCTGCCTGACTGCCATTTGAAGAAGCGTTTAAACTTTGAATCAAACTACCACGTATAGAAATAAGTGACATGGTGTTCTCCGCGGGCTTTCCTGGCTGGTTTTGCTTTGCCGGCGAGTTGTGGAGGCAAAGTATTGGGACGTTGTTGTTGTTTGCGAGCATTATACCGATACGGTCAGCGGTATCTGTCATCACAAGCCCGAGCACTGGGTAGTGGGTATCGAACATGGTTAGCTGCGTTCCTCGCCGGAAATTCCAGACGCGGACGGTGTGGTCCAGTGAACCTGATATAAGATAAAGACAATGTACGAACTAGGAGAGTAAAACGATCAAACTTAAGTGTACATATACATTATATACTTAACATATGCTTTGATAATATTACTTTGCAAGTGCAGCTTACTGATTATTAATTGAAACAAGTCAATTCACCAAAATACACTGCTTAAATACCTTAAATAATTTAGGTTCATGATTGTCTTAATTTTAAGTTTAACTAACGCCCGAACCGGTTCAGTAACTTGTTTGAAATTTGTTTTCTGTTAAAAAAAATTTCAGCTTCAGTTTTTATTTTGCAAATAGGCATATTTAAATACCTTTGGCCAAATATTGGCCTGGGTTATAAAGACACGATTAAACGTGATTTTGGCATTTCTTTCTTACCAACATAATAGTTTAAAATTTAAAACGCAATATAGTTTATATTGATCCAATCGTTTTATGTTGTTTTGAAAATATTTGAAATGCTTTGAAGTTGATTATCTCCTACTTCAAAGGAACATTTTAACTTGATAATTACATTAAATAAATTAAAAAGATAATTTCGTTGCGAAACGTTGCATACATCAATAGGATTTAAATATTTAGTTTCAAATAAATATCTCCTGGTATTCTGAATGAATTAAAGCAGACAAAAACAAAAACAAACAACAAAACTATGGTGAGATGGGTGGACCATCTGATTATTGTACGCCTTTTAAGAGCACAACTCAATGACAACAACAACAATAACAACTAACAATACCTGATAGAAGAACAGCGTCATCTGCTGTTAAATTTATGCACGTGACTTTGTTGAAATGTCCGCACAGTCTTTTCTCAATAGTCCCTAAACTTAAGCTACACACGTGAATAATTCCACAATCACCGGAAGCCAGTATTGTCTCATTGTCGCGCGTGACTGCCAAACAACGCACTGAAGTACTGTGATCAACCACAATCTGTAGACATAGCAAAAAAGATTAATCGACTTGGTATTCGTATGGCACACATTTTTATAATTGTGTAAACCTCATTTACATTCAAACAACTTGTACAGGAATATATATATATGTCAAAAACATGTTGCATTATGACAAATTGCTACACCATATATTTTAAACACATGACAATAAAAGTACTGCACATGAATCTTAAGTTTTAATAATATTTGATGAACAAATTCATAATGTCGAGTTCCCTTCAACCGTGATGATGTTATATGAATGATATAGTTCTCTTACATAATGCAATAATTAGGCGTGGATTTTCGAGAAGACAATCACATGAGTGAACTAATTTTGTTCTTAGCTCATTCGACAAAGTCGTTGTCAAATTTCAAGAATATATACAATGTTTATTTATGTTAATTTTGTATAGATTTAATGTTTCATGAAACACAAAATAAAAATCTGCCCATCAAAACCTTGACAAAGTGTTAATTGGCACTACAGTATAAAGTCAGGAAAGTGCATAGAAAATTACTATGCACAAATAGGCTGAGGAAATATAGCAGTTGCTATTTACCTGAACTATTTTGCCGCTGTCAATCTCCCATACTTTCACAGAACGATCTTGTGACCCTGTCACCAGGTATTGGCTATCTTTTGTGCACGTGAGACACGTGATTTTCTCGGTATGGTTTATTTCCTTCAATACCGACCCATCTGATAGTCTCCAAATCTGTAACCTTATAAAGGGAAGTAATGCAAAATTAACGTAAAATGACTACACAATAGCTTTCTTTTCTTCTTTTTTTTTTTAATTTTGCATTTATTTGTTTAACGAATTACATTGTTATACAATGTGATGCCGTTTCGTATTCCCGCAGCAATGTTTTCCATGCCTTAGTTCTTCCCACTGTCAAGTTTAACTCGTTACCATGTTATACCAGGGTCTTTAAAATTGAATATATACTCAGAGTAACGTAATGCTTAATAGTATGTGGTATTCAACATTATACTCATGGTACTGTTACACTTACGATCATGTCTTTTAACCATGTTATACTTATAATTATATCTTGTTATATAAAATATACTCACGATAATGCTTTACTTACAATCATGGCTTACTCATAATCATGATATACTCGTGCTATAGTGCTTTACTTACAATCGTGGCTTACTCATAATCATGATATACTCGTGCTATAGTCATTATCATATTGTATCATGTCCATGAAACTCTTGTTATACGAAGTACCATTAACATTTACCTCATTAATTGTAAAGGTTAAAAATATCCTGAATGTCATATTACACTCATAGTAAAATTTTGTCTTATTATCATTATCATTTCAGTATTTTTTTATTTTAATACATATTATCACATAACTCGCTTTCTTGTCATACTGTTGTCATTCTTTTTATGCTAATTACGGTGTCATATTCTGTTTAATTAAACCCCAAAAATTACAAGTAAAAGTATTTTTAACTGAAGCAAGCGAGTTAAATCTATAGAACTTAATGTTTTCTGCGTGTTGTTACCTCCCTTTAATCTAGATCTTTATGGAAAATAGGGCGATACGGTATTAATTTTATGTATTTCACAGGCGTTTGACAAAAGATCGTGTTTTTTTCTATGAAGATGACATATACATGTATGTATATGTATAGACCTGATTTTAAACATCGAGATACATTCGGAAACATCCATACTCATGTACGGAATGAGCCGTTGTGATTACATAGAGAAATGCGGTTTCCTATCATTTTCAATTTCATATAAAAACACCTCAAAAGTACTGAGCAGATTGAAAAGAAAGTTCGGGAATTTACTTAATTACCTGTTATCACCGCCTCCGGATATACAATGCTGGCTGTTTGGCGCGACCAGGTGTAGCAGGGTCGGTCCAGCATAGAGTCTCATTAGCTGTCCATCCTCAGCACGCCACATGTGAATTTTCTGGGACACGTCAAACGATAACACGAGGCGGTTGTCTGATAATACATACACCCCGCTCACTACTTTGTCATGTCCCTGAAATTTATATTTTTGTTATAATTATATATTGTTACAATTAGAAACAATAACAACAACAAAAACAAAGCCACAAATGTGGTATGGGCTGTAAATAGAACGATTCAAATGAACATAATGGCACAACTTCAGGATTCTTACAAGAACATGCATAATGCACTTATGTCCGTACTTCATTCGTCCGTCAAATGGCATATTTCCCTACTAAGGGTCAAGATTTCTTGTCACTAATAAACATTTATATAATAAGTTTCCTATTCTAACTAAGTGTAACAAACTTAGGCATATTTCCTCTCAAGTTACTTGTCTATCAAGATAATATATATTACTTTCAGTATCATTGTGACCTTGACCTTGTGACTTTAAAATCAATCAATCAAGGGGGTCACGAGGTTCCACAAATTTACGCGATACCTTCCCGAGTTATTGAAGAACAAGGATTTTACATATAGAAATAATTTTCACCTAATAACCTAAAATTCACAAGGGTTGATGGACAAAGGTCCTTCCAAGTAACATAAACCTTAACTTATTCTTTCTCGAGTTATTGACCGGACATCCAAAAACAGGACGTGCATTAATTTTTCTTCATATGCTATCTAGATCGTAAATTACCAACGACTATTATAAACTTACTTTGTATAACGTAATAACGGTTGCCATGGTAATGCTCCACACTCTCAAGGTCATATCACTTGACCCAGATACAGCAAACGTGTTATCACTTGCTATATCCAGACAGGTCACGGCCGCTTTGTGACCGGTGAAATTTTCTGCAAAATCACTTACGTCAAGACTCCATGTTTTCAGCAAACCATCTTGGCTACCTATAATATGGGTTCGAATTGTCAGTCATTTAAGAACATCAGCAACAACTGAACAATAGATTTGTGGTTAGATATAATGATCGGATAAGCAGATCAATGTCAAGGTGAACTGTTCTATTAAAGTCCATTTTTAGGTGATTATTATATATTTAAACTATTATAACTCACTGAGGGACATTAATTAGTTACATACTTTTACACAGATACAGCCAGTTCGATATGTGTATATGTTCATTAGTAAAACCTTGTATAAGTTTGGCAAATTTTATCACTTTCTGACAAACGTCGCAAATATATTTGCAAAGAGGACAATGATAGGAAAATTCATCAAATTTATGGGTTCACTTTATGAACATGCACATGAATTTGTCAAATAAGTTGTTATCATAAGATTTACTTTGTACCTGAAATGAGCTTTTTGCTGTCCGGGGTCATGACAAGACAGGATACCGGCCCACTGTGAATGTCGTGGTAAGTCTCTGCTGTGAAACGTTTTAATAAACTCCACACGAAAATCTCGTGCTGAAATGGCATAAATGTTATAAAAATGATCAGTTATGATTAATTATATGATGTTATAGATTATTGATAAGAATATGAACAGAACAGAACTGTTCTGTTCTGATTAGAATATTTGCACAAAAACAGAATGAAACAAACAAACAAACAAAACAAAAAGAAATAATAGAAAAAATGTAAAAGATTATGTACATGTACATAGAGTCTATTCTTAATTATATGATAGCGATTTTTGTCAAAATCAACCAAGTAGACTTTGAAATTTACTGCGAATAAAGACTTTACAAAAACAAAAATATGACAACAACTATATATGATTATCCATTTGCTGTCACAACAATTTATAAAATGTACTAAATTACAGAAGGAAACAAACATTTCGTAAACTATAGTTTACCTTAGATACTGTAACAGCTAGATATCCATTTTCAGACAACATCGTACATGTAGTTGGACTTTTATGTCCCTTGAACACATTTAGGACCTCAGTGGCGCGGAAGTTGTACAGATACACTTCTCCACTTGACGACGCCACCACACAATGATGACTATCGGCGCAGATTGAAACGCTGTTGATCTACACGTAAGTATACAACAATAAATTTTGAATTTCGAGATCTAAAAAGACAATCAAGGTAATCACAAAACAACAACAACCGTTCAGCATTTTTGAAAAAAAAAAACACTTGATATTTAAGACATTTAATATCAAATGGACGTTTTCTTTTTTTATTTAAAAACATTTTTTTTCTTACCAAGAATGAATATTGATATACATAACCTTAAATCAATCAATATATCGTTCAATCAATCAATCAATCAATCAATTAATCAATCAATCAATCACTCAATCAAAAGTTTAGCCCCAGTTTTATTATTCATTGCTTGGTCAACTATTCAAAGAAAAAGTATCACAAACAAAACCATATGTTCTGATGTCAAAAAGTGACCATGTATCAATAGAAAAACAATATTCAAATGCTAGTTACCCCCGTACAATCAATATCATTATCGAAAACATTTTTTTCATTAATACACAACCCATGATCACCCAGCCATATTACTGTGTACGTGTGCGTTTAGCATCTTTTCAACTATATTTTGTAATGTATTCCAGATTCATTTGGTACACACAAAACATATGTATAAACAAAAAAGAAAAGAAAACAACATCTCATGATTCTAAGAGAGATATTTGAGCCGCGTCATGACAAAACAAACATAATATGTTTGCGACCAGCATGGATCAAGACCAGCCTGCGCATCCGCGCAGTCTAATCAGGATCCATGATGTTCGCTTGCAACTCTTTAACAAGTAGAGATACTGATAGCGAATAGCATGGATCCTGATCAGACTGCACGGATGCACAAGCTGGTCTGGATCCATGCTGGTCGCAAACCCATTATGTTGATTTTGTCGTGACGCGGCTAATATGTATAAACAAATAAGAAAACCAACATCTCATGACTCTAAGAGAGATATTTATGGATCTTTAGACGATCAAAAAAATCCCAATCGTTTCCTGAAAATTGCATCTTCTTATAGAAACAAATTCGATATCTTGGTATATTCATTTCCCTCAACCGGAAGTGGCAGGTCAATATAACGCGAGGTAGTTGACAGTTGAAAGCGGCACAAATACGGAGGACTAGTGCTCTTACTGCATATATACTAATGTCTTGAAAGTGAGCCGGTGTTGAGTTGAATGTTATTCTAAGTAATTTCCTATATAGAATGGCAACGTAAATAAGATTTTTCATTTTCTTTATATTTTTACATACTTTACTTTATTGTAAGGAAAATGACTGGTACTGAACCATTTTGGTATATTGTGTAATTATTATTTATAGCTAAATTACTATTTTTATTTGTTTGGGTCGTCAGACCAAATAAATAATGGTAGGGAAATTTCAGAATCTAATGCTGTTAATTGCAAATGCCTAAAGTAGTCCACTTTTTTGAAGCGGTTATTTCCCTTTATATGTACACTTACGCCGAAAAATTCATGGGAGATCAATGCGAAAAGATAGTCAAATGACAGGCGCATTAATTTTCAAGCAAAGTAGTTCCCGAATGGTAGAAAAGTTCTTATATTGTTTCATTCTTTATATATATACATGCTTACAGTAAGCTCCATGATTACATCTGTGTTAAACAACAGGTTTAGCGTCGAGATAATAAGAGTTACAAACCCTAATTTAGAATTATATGGTTTCCTTTAGGTCGACAACATATAACTTCACCGTGGCCGAGGGGTTTGCACGCTCGCTTATGAATCGAGAGGTCCGGTGTTCAAATCCCAGTTGAGGCAACTCATTTTTAAAAAAAAAATTAAGTCAAATAAACATTGAATTGACTGTCAGTGTTGCAATTAGTGTTATAGCCAATTTACTACAGTTAAAACACTGGAAAGCATTGGTGGCACTTTACAAAAACAAATTGGTTTATAATCTCACAACCTTCACCTTTCTGACATTCTGACACCCAAACAAATTCAGCGCCTTCTGTGCTTTGATTTATTCTTTCGATTATAATTATATCAAGCACATACACAGTAAGTCATTTGTTCTGTTTCTATTAATCGACATACCAATAACCAGTTATACATGTAACATACATGTATATACACTGTCACACATAAAACACTGAACCATAGCCCCAAACATTAACCTATACATGTTTACTGTTTGATAGTTTGAACAGTTTTATGACTTTTATATTTTGTATGTATGATTATTAAAATAATCAGTATCAAAATACGTCACCCAAGGAAAATACAATCGTTTATCAAGAAATATTTAAATCAACTTTATGAATTATGATATTATATATTCAATCTATTAAAATAATACCATTTAGACTAATGAGATGCCGGCTAATTCCCTTCTTGAAGTGAAACAGATAATCAAATAAATTAACTTCAAATAAATGTCCTAGATAAAATTGATGATACTTATCATGGCGTCATAGAAGTGATGTTATCGTTTTCTAGCTTGACCAAATTATCATAAAAATGTCAGTAAAGTACAATAAGCATGTCAGCGGTCTGAATAAATGATAATTTCGATATTTCTGCATTTCAATTATTTGTCAAACTAACATACATGCCTTACATAATCAAGAAAATATTATACTTCTATGAAAACTATTAAAGAAGCAATTAATAACAGCAATAATAACAAACAAATTAACAAACTAACGAGCGAACGAACTAGTAAAAAAAAACACAAAAAAACCAAAGGCAACAAACCCAATATTTATGACTTACAGTGAATATGATATTATCAAAGGACATAGATCATCTTGAAACAGTGTCTTTGATGTATACATATAATGACAGGTCACGTGCAAAACGGTAATGAACGAGAACTTACCATGCCCCTGTTAATCTGTGTTGTTTGAGCTATGGTGCCTGTTGCCATGGCAATCACGTGCATGGAGGAATTATCACAACCTGTCATTTAGATGTGACACTATAATTTATAAATATCGTGCCATATACGTTTAGATTAGAATACGTGTAAATCAGTCAATGGTAAGTATACATCTATGTGCATAGAACTGAATTTAGCTTTAAAGCTGCATGTCTCATGATGAGCTAAAATATTTCAAGAAAATTAAACTTGAGTAAAAGGTACTGAGATTTTAAAAAAAAGTTAAAATACTCAATACAAAAGTAATAATTCGTATGTTATGAGCGACTTCTGACCGATTTTGCATTATTTTTTAATATTATTTTAAATGCGTTATTAACCCAGTATGGACTATTTTTTTGCATAGTTTGACCTATTTACATAGTTTGTTAATGCTTTTTTGCGGTGTGAAAATCATGTTCTTTTTTCACTCCACAATAATTACATTTTTATACATTTTTAAAATTTTCAAATCTAGAAGCGTCCTTAATTTATAGTATTGTAAATCTATTTTGTAACAAATGTTCTATTTCATGTCTTTAGTGAAAATCTTTAACGATATTCATCATGACATAACTTTCGCAAACTTGCTGTGTTTATAATTGAACCCTTGCAATGCATTTATTTATTCATTTTTTTTGTAAAAGAAGTGTCATTAATCAGTATCACATTGGAGGTATCAAATTGTATGTCATCGAAGTCTCTTCCATGACAAGTAATTAGAAGGGCATTGCACTGTACATGTAACCCTATCTCTGCAGTTGTCTTATTTCATATAAAAATATTTTGTATAAAATTGCCCGGATAAGGTTACTAGTCAGTAGTGTCACGGTACGCAACATGAAGCCGAATATCAGTAGTAAGATGATATGACGTCATGTGATGTCAATGACTTTGGAAACGTCAATGATGATATCAATGACGTATTTGAAGGAATGGAAGAAATAAAATGGTTGTAAAACGATATATTATTGATATTTGTATTAAATAACTCTTGCGCGATTTTCTTTTTCTTTTTTTTTTTTGAAGGAGGATAATTTTGAGGCGTGGTTTTAAGAAACAAGGTCATTGTTTACAAATTTCATATCGCAACACTACAAGATTTAAGTGTACCTCCGTATATCATCATTATAAGGCATGAGCGGGCGCCTGGCTAGAGCAACCGACCTTCGGTTAACTTGCTGAAAGAAATGAATTTAATCTGACGGGTTTTAAGTCAAAAGCGGTCAGAGGTAAATTGCCTCGAATTGCGATTCTTTAACGCTCGGCCATAGAAGTGCAAACATATTTTAGACATACATAAAGCAACATTTTGAAAAAGTAAAGCTTTAAGCAGAAACTACTTGTGCATGTATGTTAATTCCAAAATTATGCAAAAGTTTGTCAACACATGTACCTGCGACCAGGAATGTTCCGTCTATGGACACATCTATACAGAGTATTGGACTCAGTATGTCTACATCTATAATGTTCATATGATTCCAATCTTTTGTGTACCACACAATTATTTTACTGTCTAGGCTACCTGGAACAAAGAAAACACAGAAGTACATAGCATAACATATTTTTATATAATAACTTGCACTATCTGTTTATGTTTATTTAAGGTAAGGTCAAGATCAAAGTTACAAAGCATGTTGCCTGAGACGCCAGCTATTGGACCGTTCCTTTATGTCAAAAACTAAAGCATTTTTATGTCCATAACTAAAACATCGCTACTCTTGTGTTAAGATAACAACGTTAATATTTAAATGAAATAATAATTAACAATGGAAATAGTCGTCAGTGGAAAACTAAAAAGGCAACATGTTTGCAGAAAAATAAATCAAATAAAAAAACTTGTTTATGACGCGCTCAACAGCTGTCAAATAACAATGATCTCAGCATACGTCCAATAACTTAAGAAAAATGCAAATTTAAATTGTGAAAAAGTAAATCTTAAGCCAAATTTCAGTTATTGCACTTACTGGTCAGTAATATTGTATTTGCTTTACACAAACGAACTGCCGTCACTCGTTTCCGGTGCAGTGTTAGAGTTTTTACGATGTCACCGTTACTAAGCTGTCTTACAACAACTGATCCGTCGTCTGTGCCACAAATTAGGTCGTCTTCGTCAAGACATAACAGACACGTGACACATGATTTAAAGTCGCTGAAAATATCAACTTAATTATGAAAAATAATGAAATGTAAATGAAAAAGGATTTTTGTTTGGATTGTACGTCGCACTGACACAATTAGGTCATATGGCGACGTTCCGGCTTTACTGGTGGAGGAAAACCTCAGGTGTCCTTCCGTGCATTATTTCGATCTTCAGTAAGCTAGTTGGATAGCTTCCTCACATAAAATTATCCATAATTCCTGTTGGGATTCGAGAGGGAAGTAGTTTGAAATTAACGACCCAAACCACTCAGACGCCAAGAAATAGAATAATACAACAGAACAAAATTAGAACATATATCTGGCAGACACAAATGTCTATTAAACAGCTTCTTGTCATTTTAAACTTAATATAAAATCGATGCACATTATAGTTATTAACAAAGACACTTCATCAACGCTCTAGGTAAATTTGATATTAAGGAACATTTTAAAAACATCACTAGAAAAGACATTGGAAAGTTTTCTATGTTTGACTAAATCTGATAAGGTTTTTGTAGGTATAATAGTACTTGTGATAGAATAAATGCTTAATATTGCTTGGCAAATTTTGAATGATAATACATTAAAAATTATAAACGAAATATGCTTTTAAAATAACAACAGTTAAAAAACTAAATTAAATGCATTTACTAACTTGTATATGTCGAGACAGTATTCTGAATCCAGGTTCCATGTTCGCACAGTTCTATCTTTGGCACCGGAAGCGAGCATGCGGTTGTTTGGATCGAGGTACATACACGTGACCTCTCCAGTATGGCCTTAAAAGGCGACAACAACAAAAACAAAAATATATTATAAAAAATTAAACGAATAGATAATTAAAAAAGAAATGAACTAAGGACGTTTTCGAGAGTTTTCATATAGACATAGGCAAAACTAAAACTATTCAATAGAATTTCTTTAAACTTGGCATATTGTTAGAATATGATAACAGAAGCATTTTAAGCGAAAAAAATGGGGTCATCAATCTCGTTTTTGAGTTATCTGCCCCTGAATCAGACTTTTCTACTTATTTGAGTTCATTTCAAGAGCAGATAACTTACGAATACTTAAATGAATACTTGTTTTTACTTCTGGATTATGTTTTTCTTTTTTATTGTTGAGTGCAATACACAATAACATGCAATTTCTTATATGGTTTCTGTTCATTTTTTTCAATGAAAATAAAGATACTTTAAATTCTTAATAACCTGGCCATTTTTTAAGAAAAAATGCACAGGTTAAAAGAAGAAGTGGGAATAAAAAAACTATCCACTCTTAATTTGTTCTTGAAATTTTGTATATAATTAAAACGAAGGTAAGCTTCATTAAAATAAGAAAAAAAATATATTGTTGTAAATTATCTTCCCTTGAATTTAACAAAAAAATCCAATTCAAGGGGAGATAACTAAAAATGAGAACGTTGACCCCAATTTTTTTGTCGCTTAAAATGTTTTTGTTTTCATATTATTATGTTCAATCAAAACGCATTTACATTTTTGAAGCATTTATTTTCATGACCATTTACCGTGCCAACCAGAGACTGTGAATAATTGAAGTATGTGATTGCTGAGTTACGTTATCGTATAAATATTCATAGTTTTAATTAATTGGAATCTAGTGATCAAAGGTACTTTTAGAAATGATGTTTCAACATTTTACGCATGATACAATTAACAAAAATGTTATAGTATCATAATGCTGGATAACGTTAAACATCTTTTAATCTTTACCTTGCTTGAACCGCAAGTCATTCGCCTTTGTCAGGCAAGCGTGTACATCCGTAGTCTATCCAGTCTCGGCACTGTGGATTAACTTTAAATTATCATCTTCTTGTCCCAAAAACTGATATTGGGACACATCATAAAGTGGTATTTATAAATTGTGCAGGTTAATGATTAATAAAAATTAAATAGAATTATTGATAATTTAATGGGTTGTAAATATTTACCATTAAAACATTTAACTTTTCGTCTCGTGGCAATGTGATACATAGAAATAGAATGATCAGCAGCAATGATAACATGTTGCCCATTTGGCATCAGGGAAGCGCACGTGATTGGTTGGTCATGTGACATAGAAGTAACCAATGGCGAATGGACATTATCCAGCCATGTTGTCAATGGTACGAGGAGGGGAAGTGTGTAGTTGTCGCACCATTCCATACACTGTGAAACCAACGGTTCGATATATCGAGGAAAGTAAACTGAAATTGTAGCAACAGATGACGTCAATGCGAGTAAAACATGCATGAACAAATACGGTACCACAAAAATATTGAAAGACAACAACAACTATTTTAGGCGCTAAAATTTCAAGTTTATTATACTCCCTTTTTTAAGTTTGTATTTTTGTAATGCAACTTAATTGAGTCATGTTCCGAAATAAAAGGCGATGGGACCTATAAGTGCCATAACTCTTAGTAAATGAATACCAGATTATGTACAGTTTTTCATATGATTTAATTGACTGTTCAAATAATTCTTATTACTTTCACATGCACGACACACAGATAAATGCGACAACAAAATCATTACAACACCTATAGTTTTTCACTTTATAAAATGTCATAAAAGTGTCATCATGCAATGTATTTTAAGAGTACTAATTCTGTGACTCTCGAGAATTTAGAAACTCAACCTTTTCCATACTACTACGGTAATTGACGAACATTTGCGGCATATGGCGATTTTTACCGAATTCGTCAAGCGCGTACAATAGAGATCTATCCTTATCAAGATCCGGAAGCTTATCCAATCATGACGTCTCATTCGAGAGACTCTTACTGGCAGATCATTTCCGGGCAAAAAATGGGTTCCCACACAAAATTAATACGCAAGGAAATGCCGAACCATTTATCTCAAGACATAATGATAAACGTACAAATTCAATGAGTTTCTTGATGGTAAAAACAAACGAGCCGCGTCACGGCAAAACCAACAGAATGGGTTTGCGACCAGCATGGATCAAAACCAGTCTGCGCATCCGCACAGTCTGATCAGGATCCATGCTGTTCGCTTACAAACTCTATAACAAGTAGAGAAACTGATAGCGAAAAGTATGGATCCTGATCAGACTGCGCGGATGCGCAGGCTGGTCTGGATCCATGCTGGTCGCAAACCCATTATGTTGGTTTTGTCATGACACGGCTCAAATGTATTTCAGGAAATTAGAAAAACAACGAATACGATGCTTGAACGGTTATGATAGAAATTTATAAATAGTATTAAAAAACATTGTCACGTTTGCGATACACTCGTATCCGTATTTCCTTGTATAATACAAGCTGCTTATTTTTACAAGCAGAATACCAAAAGTTAGCGGTGTTCAGTCTAGAATATCAAACAATTTATGGTGTTTAATCTATCATGTCATCAAGATAATTTGCGGTTGTGAATTTAATTGCGACAATTGATAAAATGATCTGCTTTATTATTATAGTTCACGTTTCATATTATTATCGTATACAATTAAAAAGTATTAAGAAAGCTGACTGAAGATGTTGACCGTTTTAAACATGCCTTATTCCTAAGAAATGAATCTTATTCGTATACGTGATACTCCTTTCATATCAATTATCATTTACGCAAAATCACTTTAACCCGATAATTTCTAAGGACGGAAAGAATATATTACCTTTAATTTGTCTCATTCTCCCAATAAGCTCATTTGCTAATTGAAGCGGTGAGGTATGTAATGCTACACCGCCTGACCTCAAGGTCAAATCAAGTAAATGCATGTCTTCATCAACGAGGAACGACTTCACAAGGTCAAGGTTATACATGACTTTCTGAATATTGTCTGCATCTGTCATTGCCAGAAGATACTCAAAATTGCAAAATGTGTTTTCTTTGAATAGCTCCGTGTCACCTGAAAAAGATATGATAAATGTGGTCACATTGTTTCAAAATGACGTTGTGCGCGGACGTCTTTAACTTCCGGGTCGTATGACGTAATAGGGTGAATAATGGCTGCTTTCATAAGCTCCAGAGTATTTTTGAGTATCTTGAAGACGTATTGTTTAACTTAAAAGCAAAATTCTAAATTTAGACAAAATTCTGGTAAAATATTATTCATGCATGCAATGAAAACAAAGAAACAGGTAAACAATTCAAAAGCGGTTTGACATAGTCTGGTCTGCATGAAATAATGGGTCATAAGTGGGTTTGCTACATTACCTTTTAGGTTCTAGGAATATATCAAAATAATATATACCAGATTTCAACAGATGAAACCATAGTTCGTGTAACTTTCTAAAGTTGTACATGACGTCATTGTACACCAATGGCTGCGGACTTAATATCCGATCTACGTCCTCCGTAACCTTTGTGAGGTCATCGTAGTCAACGAATGGATTTCTAGTGTTCCACTGTTCCATAAAAATGTTTGCTAACTCTTTATGTACGAGTACAGTTTGTTCTGGCGAGCTGAGATATCTTTGGCGGACGACAGCGACGCATCGTTTGTTCGTCCATGTATATAGAGTCCTGTTTCCTATACACCTTTTGCTGAGGAGTGACCCTGAGTAAGAAGTGTGAAAAAATGCAGCATTCAGTAACTTTGAGATGATTAAATCATAAACTTTAAGTAATTTAAATTGCAAGAAAAAATTACATAACTAGGGTTTCTGCCAATATTATACAGTCATGTAAATAATAAATTGGCCGTTACTTTGCAAATATAATCAATTTGTTTTTACTATGCACAAGGGATAACAAATAGTTTGTGAAAGTTTAATTGAAATTCCGTCAGACAATAATGTTGGAATCAAACACGAAAGAAGTTGTTAATGCCCAGTCCTTATTTCTTAGTTAACCATGAGTTTATAAAAGTATTTACCAATGCTTTGTCTTATTTCAGCCCAAATGTGACAAGGAAATCTCAGCACCAATGGTTGCTCGTGGGTGTGAGCTTCAAGGAGAACTTGGTCATTAGCTGACATTACATCCATCAGTTCAACCTCTGTCAAACCATACCGAGCCAGGGTTATATACATGCACAGGGAGCTCACTAATATCCTCCCGTACGTTTCTTCGAGGGATTTTAACTTATTTTCGATAATGTTTTCAATGGAAACCGGAATCAAATCCGGTAGACTACCTGTAATATTAGGCTGACTCCAAGAATGCCACGTTGTAGCCATCTTGGACACTTCCGATATTATAAACGGGTTTCTTTCCTTTGAAAAGGAACTTATCACTGCGTTAGTTTGGCTTTCCGTTAGTTTTCGTTTGGCTTTGAATAATGTTTGTTCAAGTATCAAGCTACTTTCATCAGCCGACATATTGTTGATGTAAACAATGACGTCAGTATTGAGCAGTTTGCTTTCCAGACGTTTAACAATTGAGGAATTACTTGTAGAAGAACAAGATACTGTGATGTGAAATTTTGGCGGCAATCTCGTGGCAAGCCAGTCGATTGCACCGAATGTTGTCGTCTGCTTTTCTTGAATCAATTGCATTTTGTCGATTCCGTCGATAAAAATCAACAGGTGCCTCGAGCTTTTCGACACCCCTGTTCATCAACCCCTGAAAAAAGTTGTAGCTTCCCTAATAAATTTTTATCAAAATTTTTTTTTTGTCTGAGAATAATAATCTGCCCAAAAAAGTCTCTGGAAAATCCCCGGGTGGCAGGGATTTTTCCCTCAAACCAAAAAATATGGGGGTTATAATGCATCTTTTCCCCAATTCTCTTTCACGGGGCACAGTTTTGCTATAACTGTACTTTTACCACACCCTTCGGGCCCTTTGATAATTCCAAGTTGGTGATCGGCCCGACCTCCGTTTATAAGAAGCGCTTGCAATTTTGACATGTACTTTTCAAACCCCGTCAGAGGACTGTCTTTGAAAATATCAATACATCGATGTAAGTGCACCAGTCTTTCGTTGTAATCAAAAGCATGCCTTTGTTTGCCTAATTCTAGAAGTCGTAAAGAATCAGTGGAATTTATTTTGTCAATAATTTCTACTAATTTCCTTGTAACTAACAGAATAAAATTTTCGATGTAATCGTCATGTACTTTCCTGTTTTCTTGGAAATCTTCTGGCTGACCGGAAACGTGCAGCTGCAATATATGAGATCTCGGCACCTTGCCAACAACATCCTGTTTCAGTTTTGAGATTTTTGAATACTGAGAAGACCTCTGGTTGTGAGCGTTCCTTTTCAAAGAATTGCTAGAATTTGTATCGGAACTGCCGATCCCATTGGCTTTGTCTTTACCTTAGGAGACAATATAAAAACTGATTTATAGCTTCGGCATCATTTTGAATTCTATGTGTATAATTTATAATGTAATTCTTTACTTAGAACAAAATTGGCGGTTTCATAGCTCTAATTTATTATTTTCGTACCGAAAGTACACTGTTCACGTACCATACTAATTAGTATGCTTGTATTGAATACGTCAAAACGGTAAAAGTACGGAAGACGAATAGTTCTATACACCTGTAAACAAGTTAAGCACGAAAAAGAAAAGGTCGAAAGTACAAAAACAGTCCATTAATATAAATAGTTAACAAATAACACACGAATAACTAAGATTGTGATTGTTACAGTGCTTTATTAAAAACCATACACTTTAAAAATCAGATTTGGTAGTTTTCGTGTTTGTCTTGCGTGATGTATTGGATGGAATGCGTGTTTGAAAAAGCCAATAAAACAGGCAATACTAAAAAATAGACAGCTTATTAATAATTTTGAGAAAATTCATTAGAAATGACATTCATTGAGAAAAAAATCTTTTGAAAAAGATAAGAAAAGATTAATAAAATTCCCCGGTTCTTTTTTCCGTTTTATTTGCAGAGTAAAAAAGGAACGCACTGTTGCTCTTTCTTCTAATTTTCTCGCCTAACGGGATTACACGAGGCTTTTAGCGCTAAATGCTACTAATGTAACTATTGAGTGAAAAGGTGTCTTCAATAAATGAACTGTCTGTCGTCTGCTAATCAATATTGAATACGACTGATTAACGTAGTGGCGGCGCTGATAATGCGTCGTGATAATATACAGGCGTGATGGAACGACAAAATAAAGAATAAACGTAATTACCTTGAAAAGATCTGAAGAAAAATACAGTGTCTTTTGACGAAAGCCACAATGCTTGCTTGATTTGACGTTCTAACCCTGAAAAATGCATCAACATCTTAAGCTCAATATAAACATATCTGCTTTTTTTTTAAATCCATATATGTATATGACGAAGATTTTCTTAAATTAGATTAAAGTATGCACTCTACAAAGCGCAACAATAACCACAATTGAAGCTGTGAAGCAAAAACGTTCCGAATGTTTTTTTCTTTTTTTCAATTTAGTGCTTTTGAATGACTATTATCAAGCATTTTGACCTACATTTTTGTAAGTTACTACGACCTAAGCATTTGCTTTATAAAGAATGCTTAGAATTTACTAAAGCAGTTGTAAAAGAGTATTAAATGAGCAGTAATCAATGGAATACTTCAAATCTATATTTAGAAACTAACGTCTGTGATCTAAAACTGTTACATTATTCAAATTTATATGCAGGACTTCGCAGATTTCTAAAATTCTAATTTCAAAATAGTTATAGTTTATCATTGAATCAAATATTAGACAGCACTGAAGTTTCTTGAAATATAATTATAGGCCTACATTGTATGTAGACATGACGTCACACATACATGTTCTGTGCGTTTGCATTGTCGACTGCAGCTGCAGACGTAATTCTATATTTGTGCAATGCTTTCATTTAAACATAATACTAATCATTAGACTAATTGATGTCTGGTTTTTCGAGAAAAACAACAACAACAACATCAGCAGCAAATAGAAAAACACTCGTCAATAGTATTGAAACCTTTTAATTGATCTTAAAATATGCATTATATTAATGAAATAATGACGTAAATAAAACAACTTTTAATACCAATGATAGGCAAGATATGGCGATCGAATTCGGAGAATATTACACGCTATATGGACCTTTAAAGGCACAATAAGCTTCCAAAATGCTATTATTTCAATTTTTTGTCACATTCATTGCAACAAACGTCCGTTTTAAATCCATGATATACTTTTTAGGATATAGGATGTGTAACATTATAACAATCCGAATTCCATACCTCTTATAAAGCAAGAAAATGACTAACCTGAAGTAAAATACTTTTCTAGGCACTGATTTAGGATTCCCTGACTTTCACAAGCCAATGTCGAGGCCTGAATAGCTTCGAGAATAGTTTTATACATATCTAACCATTCTTCATGTTCAACCCTGAAAATATATGTTGTTTTTAGATTATTATGACATTCACAGTTTTTGGTAAAAATGATTAATTTGATACCGGTATTCTGTGATGATGTAATAATGTGAACTATTGAAGCTGAATTTAGAGGGGGTAAAGCTATAGTGTACTGACCCACACGTCAAAACCCCACACCTCAAAACTTTATAATGTGGACAAAACCCACACATGGATTTTACCGAGTGGACAAAACCAAACACC